GTTTTTGTCAGATCTCCACTGTTTTTGTTCGATCAGTTACATATTTTATTTGCATGAGCATTTTATTTTATTTAAACCTCCATTAAATTTAAAATTAATCCATAATCGAGATTTAAATCTGAGTTTAAAGTTATGGCGCAACAGGATTAATGTTAATCTTAAATATAATTTGTCTTTATTACTCTTAGTTATAAATGATGGTAGCTCAGCATTTTTGAATGATTGTCTTCATGAGTTTGTCTACATCCATATTGCATGTTTCCTCTCACTTGTAAAGAATGCTTCCAGTTATTTCTTCTAGCTCTTTCAAAGCAGTTCTTTCTGCGTTTCCGCTCACATATTTTTAAATCTGTTTCATTGAGGTTCCAAATAATGGCTCATTGGCTTCGATATAACACCTAGAAACATATATTCTTATGCACACATGTAAAGTATGTTACAGCTGTTATTTCTCTGAAATTATGTTGCCTTTGCTATTCTGTTACTAATAAAATAGTTTTTTTTAACTGCTTGTCCTATTTTGGCGCAATCCCTAAATTGAACTTGAGTAGTTTTACTGAGGGCACCCATCTCACATGAAATTGAACTATGTCAAACATATTCTACCTGCCTTCCTGATATAAATTACTATGAATTTGATATGGTAATTAATACTGAGACACTAATTTGGGCAAAGAGCACTAATGACTTGTTTAAGACTTGAATCTTAAAGTTGAGGACTTGCAACTCGACTTGGACTTGCCTGTCTTGACTCGGGACTTGACTTGGGACTTGTCTGTCTTGACTCGAGATTTGAATGCAAAGACTCGAGACTTACTTGTGACTCGCAAAACAATGACTTGGTCCCACCTCTGCCAAAAAGGCATATATTTTAAAATAAACAAACTCTTACATTTGATTAACAAATTCAATTATAATAATACATTGTAGAACTGTACCACCAATCAAATTAAATCATTTAAAATGCAAAATTACAACTGTGTTGTGACGTTAATGTTTTACATTAATTTTTGAAATTACAAATAAGAAATGTTGGAAAAATGCTATGATACTTTTTAAACGTGAAACTAAACCGCCATTAGGTGGCAGCAAATAACTTAACGAGTGAGTCAATTGAGTCATTCATTGTACCGATCCGTTCAAAATGCTGAATCATTCAGTAAACACACCGCTGAGTTTTGCTTTGATCTTTGTTTGGAACTATTTTCTTTGGTGAAATAGAACAACAGTCAATATTGTGTCTAAAAAGTAAGTAACTTAATGTTAACTATTTGTGTATTGAACTATGTAACATTTGCAATCGTGATAATCAGCAAAACAGCTCGCTTATGCTCCTTAACAATATCATGTTATAAATAAACTAAACAGTTTGAACATTTACCTCATGTTTCTTGTGATTTTATGTGTGCCGTTAAGGTTATTTGTTTTGATGTTGAATGTAATAAAAGCAGAATCAGTCTCGCGTTTCGAAGCTTCCCTAGTTGTTTTTTTTTTACCACGTTTTAATCAGGCTAACTTGTCCAATCGGGCATGTAAATATGTATTTCACTAAAAAATTGTCCCGGACAAGCTTTAATGTCGTACAACTACAGTGGCAATAGTTTACATGTAACGTTAGTTTCTAATTATAGTAACGTTAAGTTGTCGTGTCAATATGGGACAGTTGAACACATGAACAAATTAAATTTCACATATTTTGCTGTTCGTCAGTTATTTCGACAGATAGTTACTATGACAATCGTTCGCACTGGGCATTACGTTAAAAGTTGGGTAAACACTACTTTAAATGCTCTCAATAAGAAAATTAAACTGCCAAAATGAGAAAAATGCAGCATTTAGCCTAACTATGCTATGATAGCAATTCTCAGCTTACTGCACATACCAAGTCCGCTTGTCTAAATGTCGTGAAAGCAGGCTATTGTAACATGATATCGCTTATACATTAACTTAACTAAATATAAAAGGATATATTTCTTAAGTAAAATTAAGTGAACTTACCAGCAATTATGAATAAAGCCTCTAATCTTCAATTGTTCTCGAGCTGCTCCAGTCGGCTGGATTTCAGATTTGAATGAAGCGCACGCAATCCCATAATGCCACACTACAGTAAGTTAGAGTGAAAACCAGGAGCTACAGTGAGAACACCTGCTTCTTGTAAAAGAATTACAGTTGACATGGAAATATACTGTTAACAACTGTAAAACCTTATTTGACCCATAATGCATTGCGAATTACAGCTACATCTTGTAAAATGTTTAAACGGTAATATTCTGTAAAATTACTGTAGAAACTACAGCAATTTTTTCTTTGTTTGGAACGATTTTCGTTGGTGAAATAGAAGAACAGTCAATATTGTGTCTAAAAAGTAAGTAACTTAATGTTAACTATTTGTGTATTGAACTATGTAACATTTGCAATCGTGATAATCAGCAAAACAGCTCGCTTATGCTCCTTAACAATATCATATGTTATAAATAAACTCAACAGTTTGAACATTTACCTCATGTTTCTTGTGAGTTTATGTGTGCCGTTAAGGTTATTTGTTTTGATGTTGAATGTAATAAATTCAGAATCAGTCTCGCGTTTCGATGCTTCCCTAGTTTTTTTTTTTTTTCACCCAAGTTTTAATCAGGCTAACTTCGGTCCAATCGGGCATATAAAGATGTCTTTCACTAAAAAATTGTCCCGGACAAGCTTTAATGTCAGTACAACTACAGTGGCAATAGACACACATTTACATGTAACTTTGTTTCTAATTATAGTAAGTTGTCACGTCAATATAGGACAGTTGAACACATATGAACAAATGAAATTTCACACATTTTGCTGTTCGTCAGTTATTTTGACAGATAGTAGTTACTATGACAATCGTTCACACTGGGCATTACGTTAAAAGTTGGGTAAACACTACTTTATATGCTCTCAATAAGAAAATTAAACTGCCAAAATGAGAAAAATGCAGCATTTAGCCTAACTATGCTATGATAGCAATTCTCAGCTTACTGCACATACCAAGTCCGCTTGTCTAAATGTCGTGAAAGCAGGCTATTGTAACATGATATCGCTTATACATTAACTTAACTAAATATAAAAGGATATATTTCTTAAGTAAAATTAAGTGAACTTACCAGCAATTATGAATAAAGCCTCTAATCTTCAATTGTTCTCGAGCTGCTCCAGTCGGCTGGATTTCAGATTTGAATGAAGCACCACATCCCATAATGCCACACTACAGTAAGTTAGTGTAAAAACCAGGAGCTACAGTGAGAACACCTGCTTCTTGTAAAAGAATTACAGTTGTCATGGAAATATACTGTTAACAACTGTAAAACCTTATTTGACCCATAATGCACTGCGAATTACAGCTACATCTTGTAAAATGTTTAAACAGTAATATTCTGTACAATTTTACTGTAGAAACTACAGCAATTTTTTTACAGTGTACTGTAGCTCCAACTGCTGAAAAACTTGATAGATGCAGGCCATGACAAAAAACTAAAGTCACCTAAAACATGCACAACTCTGGAGATGTCAATGACATAAGGCAAGCAGTCTGCCCTTGAAGAGCGTAAAGAACATTTATATTAACACTTTAGGATCATTTGGCATTTATTCAAACAATCATTTCAAACATTCATGAACACAATGGGTTAATAAGCAGCACTGTTATCATCCACAAGACAGCAAAAAAATTATTTGGTCTGCCGCCAAATTATACAAATTCCTATTGTTGTTCAGCAGCTGACCGCTCTTTCAATAAAGCAAAAAGCTGACATCTGAAGTTAATTGATGTCACTGACAATGTCTCTTTTCCAAAAGTATATAAAAGGATCCCAGTAGTCATCTCTCAGTGTAGGACAACACTGATTAAACACAATGGGAAAGGTGAGGCTTTGTCTAATCTTTGTCTCATTGAATATTTGTACGTTTAATAAATAATGTCATCTGCACAACTTCTGGAAGGGGAGGGTTGTTATTTGTGTGTGAACATACAATAAGAAATAAAACAACAAAAAACTCTGCTACAGATCATCTTCTATGAAGACAAGAACTTTCAGGGCCGCTCCTATGAGTGCACTAGCGACTGTGCTGACCTGCACTCTCCTTTCAGTCGCTGTAACTCTATTCGGGTTGAAAGTGGAAACTGGATGGTATATGAGCGGCCACACATTATGGGTTACCAGTACTTTCTGCACCAAGGCGAATATGCTGACTACCAACGGTGGATGGGTTTCAATGATTGTGTCAGATTCTGTCGAATTATACCCCAAGTGACCCTTTTACTTACAAATGCAAATCTTACAGTATGCTTGGTCTACACATGTCTCAGCATTATAGCTTCCTGTGATGTTTAATTAAATGTGTTTTCAACCCGTAGCACCAGGGATCCTACAAAATGATGATCTATGAACGTCCAGACTTTGGTGGTAAGATGATGGAGTTCACTGATGACTGTCCATCCCTTTATGATCGATTCCATTATAATGATATCCATTCTTGCAATGTTCAAGATGGATACTGGATCTTCTACGAGCACCCTAATTACAGAGGCAGACAATACCTCCTGAGACCTGGCGAATACAGGAGATACAGCGACTGGGGTGCCATGAGCTCGAGTTAGTTATATCAGACGTATTACCTTGTGAAACTGAAAGGCAAGAAATAGGTCTGGAATGAAATAACCTATGCAAATAACCTTTTCTTTTCTGATATTACTATTGGAAAATAAATTACAACATAATTTACAGAAACATTTACGGCAGTCAGTTTTTGGAAAACAGTGGCAGTTGGTTCTTACTCCAATCTACTTTAAGTCAAATTTGACACCAATTAGGTAGGCTGATATTATTTTCTGTCCTCTACATTTAACACAAAGCTGTGTAACATTCTATTGTACTTTACCACTTTTGTTATGTTTTGTCAGAATGTACTTTCACTCTGCCTATATTTGACGTCAAGAAACTGCGAATTGTTTTTGTTTACACATCAAAATAATAAATGTGAACTTTACATCTGGGTATCTGGGTGTGTTGACCACTTAAAACAGCCTGTTCTCATTTCTCATTCATGATCAAATAAAGCAGAGGCTACAAACCAAATTGCTATATTATTTACAGCAATTTCCAAAGCAACACATCCAAAACAACTCCTCTATCACAAAACCAAGGACACAAAGGCAAGCTACAGGGGAACATGAAAGCTTTAGATAAATGGAAACAATAACTGAGTAGAAGGCTGAAGGGGCTAAGGGGTCTTTCACTGTCACTGACAGCAACAGTGCAGTCATGCATTCTTTGTTAGATGTTTTATCTGAAGTAACTTTAAAGTGGAAAAACACCACAAGCCTTCATCAGGTTCTGACCTCTTGCCTGTTTCTCACAAAAAGCCTCCATCTACACTTTATAAGGAAACCTCACTCTAGTGACTTCTAAAAAAAAAAAAAAAAAAAAAACCTTGGACAATTAAACATAGATTTGCTTTTCTTTCCGTACATTAAAAAACTAAATTCGTTCTATATGTTAACAACACAATCATTCACAAATCCTGAGCATGCACACTACAACCTATTTCTAAGTTTAATGTGATTTTATGAGAAATTACACATAAAATAACTCACTAATTACAATGCTCTCAAGTTCCAGGTTATGTCATCTTCCTCTTCACCTCTCTTTTGACTGTTTTTGCTGGATCAGTTTTATTATTTACTTCATAATGTCCTTCACATTGACACTGCCGATCAGTCCAAGTGTAAGTACATGTTTTAAAACATGGTACATTAACATGAAAGGCTGCTAACACTATCATATTCCTTAACTATCTATCTGAGAATGCTGCTGAGAAAAGTATTAGTAGACACAATATTGTGGTGGATTATTACATTAAAAACACATCTTCCCCTTTGTCTCATTATCTTGATTTACTGAAATGTAAAGTGTTAAAAAAAACAGAGCTGTAACAATACATAGTGCCATAATATATCATAATTCAAAAAAGAGAAACCATGATAATTAACATTGTAGATATGCAAAAGTGGATCATGATATAACAAGCAGAGCTTAGTCAACCTGGGTCTAATGTGTCATAGAGTCAATCTCTGATGTGAAAACCTTATTTTGCAATTTTAATGGATAACACTTTTTGTTAAATTTTACAAAAATTAATTATTAATTAATAAAAAAAAAAACTAAAAATAAATAAAAGAGAAAACGGTGTATGTATGCATGCATAACTTAATGCAAATACACACTCACAAAAACAAAAACCTTTCTCTTCTCCTCATTTCTCCTCTTCCCTAGTTTGCTATCTAAAGTAGTAGTCTAATAAACCTGCCATTGTATATTATGAATATTGTTGGCTTTGACTAATTGCTTTTGTAAGTCACTTTGGATAAATTCACCTGCTATTCCTATGCATAAGGTGTATACTGTATAATCTGAAAATGTAACAGATTGTCTTACCTATTAACGAGAAAACCCCTTTGCTGTAAATAGTTGCCTTTTATTGCATGATCAGTATCATCATATTCAAGCAGGAATCAATTTCATCTCTGAAGGAAAAAGAGCACAGAACCAAAATTTATGAGCAACATTCATTTTTAGCAATTTCTTCTTCAAATGTATGCTCATTATTTCTGTGAAATAACTAATGGCATTATGATATCTTGAAAGAATGTTATCCTCTATCAAAAAAAAACACACATAGCAATCAAAGAATAGAAAAACTAAGTGTAAACTGAGAAAGATATAAACAATAACTTACCACACTCTAATGGCTGAGGAGAAGAGGTCCACTAAGCAGAAGTTCTGTTCTTTGGGTCACGCAGAGTAGAAACAAGTAAACATTTAATCGTCCTGCAGAACTCTATATCTGTCATATTTGTGTGAAATAGTCTGTAGTCCATTGACTTATGTCCGTGAAAAAAATACTAAAGCAGACATAACACAGTTTCTGCCAATCTCATGTTAATCTTGAGTACCTATAGAGTAGTATTGCATCCTTCATATCTCCTAAGTAGGGATGTAACGATTCACTCAGCTCACGACTCGATTCGATTCACGATTTTGATTTCACGATTCGCGCAGTTAATCGCAGTTAATCGTTACATCCCTACTCCTAAGAGACTTTAGTTTTATCAGATTTATAAAAGACAGATACAGCTGTACTGTACCACTTTTCTCCGAAAATAGTTGAGCTCCTGGAGGCGTGCCGTGGGTGGAGCTAAAGAGTCACAGGCATGCACACACAGTCTATGGGCATGCAAAGCTTTTGCGTAGTGGTCGTCTGCAAGCTGTGACATGGACGTAAATAAAACAGGAACAAAAATTTTATTGACAAATTAACTATGGCTAAAAATAAGATCCATCCATATACTGTATATTTGATCCAGAATCGCATCCCCACAACTTCCATAAACCGAATGAAGACAATTTTTAACCGAAAGGGCGTGCTCTTGCTCTCACTCTGGTTGATGTGTGCGTGCGCTCTCTTCCTGGAGAAGTGCTATGAAGGTAGAATGACGTCAAAAAGATTTGAGAGTCAGCGAGAGGCTCATTTGATTGGCTACAAGAAGAAGGTGGCCCCGCCCTCCCCTCACACTTTCGTGCCAAAATTGTAAGCGCAGAGAAAAGAAAGACGGAGCTGTACATATCGGTTTATTTCGGGAACTTTTTGCCCCACATACACAACAAGTCATTTAGACATTTGCAACAGTTAGTTTTGTACACATACAGATTGGTTCTATGCAGTCAATCCGTTTTGCAGTTCTTTAAACTGTTGTTTTCGCTTGCAAATCACTGTTCACAGGCTTGCAGTGCTTTTGACCGTCTTTTGGTGAAAAAAACGTGCCAAAAGTGTAAGCGCGGAAAAATGGAAGTCAGAAGCATGCAGATCATATTTATTTTGCGTTAGCATGAAGCTGCAGTTTCACAATACATGAATTACACTTACAAGTAACAGTAAAATGCTGCAAATATTTTTTTCTTGCGCTTGAAACACGATTTACACCTTTACAAAGCTTCTCTTGCGCATGCAAATTTAATTTACGCTTATGTACACTTCCACAACTCTTACCCTGCGTATGCAAATCTTTTTGACGTCATTCTACCTTCATAAGTGCCCATAGAACGAATTCCGCGCCTTAATGATGTCATACTCTGAAAAAAAACTTTCCAAAACTTATACAACCCCTGAAGGAGTGTATTTGGCACAGAAACACTACGCCATACATCCAACTCGTTTTTTGAGAATTTGGTCATGTTTAGCATGAGAATCCAACTCAACTTTTCAGCTGTGTAAATATGTCAGAATGCATGAAGTAGCATTAGACAGCCCCTTTACGTTTGGAATATGGAAATTTGTTTTCACATACAACAAAACTTTGTCACATTTTGCACTGACATCTTCAAATAGGAGCATTTCTAGACTTTTTTCAGTACCGGGGCACAGGCCCCCTCATCAAAAAGAAGTGTCCACGTATTTTGATACTCATTTTTCTGATACTTATTTTCTTGATGAATCATGAACAATTCAGACATTTTTGTAAACCCGCCTGACCAACTAAAACAAAAAAGTGATTTATTAATTTGGACTCGCTAGTTCTGATTCTAAGCAGCTAATAGAAAACATACATGATTTCTGAAATATTATCAGGGGAAATGATTCTCGGGTCAGAGAATCTGTTGTTAATCTCCATCAGACAAGGATTTATCAATAATATATTATGGGTGCTCAGCAGTATTTCTCTTGTGAAAAATGATATCTTTTTTCTTAAGATTCATAAATAGATACTCATGCCATCACAGACGTATATGACTTTCTATATATATATGTCTTTCTTGAGACGCACACAAACAAAAATCTTTTGAAAAACATATCCATCTATATAAAAGTCAATTGGTTTCCACAAGTTGACACTTCAAAAAATCTAACCCAAGTGGATCAATTTCTTATTAAAGGGTTAGTTCACCCAAAAAATGAAAATTAGCCTGTGATTTACTCACCCTCAAGGCATATGACTTTCTTCTTTCAGACAAATCCAATCGGAGTTATATTAAAAATTGTCCTGGCACTTCCAAGTGTTATCATTGCAGTGGGTGGGTGTTTTTGTTCAACAGTCCAAAAGACGTCAAAGACGTCATAAAGACCTCCTGTATGCGTTTTTTGTAAGAAAAATATCCATATTTCAAATGTAATAAGCACTTTTCTATCACTTCATCTAACTGTGGTACGTGGAAGCTGTTCAGGCAGATGACGTAGGACAGGGATGGGCAACTTTGATAGTGACGAGAGCCAGCATGGTACCATAAAATAACCGGGTATCTGCAGAATTTTTTTAATCAAATTTAAGACCTTTAAAGACCATTTTAAGACCTGCACTTCACATTTCAGCCTTTACATCATTTTTAAGAAAAGGGATGAGTCAAAAGTATCAATTATTATATTAATTGAAACAATTATTATCATCAATCAATTATTATATTAAATACCATATAAATATATCTTAGTATCTTATTTGTTTAGATTTTTATAATGCATTAGCTTTTTGTCGATCCAATTTTAAAACTATGTAGTAAAAATAGCAGATGGGCTTATTGAAAATGCAAATTCGTTCTCTGCCAGCAGGTTTCACTTTCGGAATGGCAGAATATAGAGGTTCCCCGGTAACCGCAGTACACAAAGCAGCGCAGCACCTGACTTTGAAACGTGCAGCACTCATATTTATTCAGTGAAATCATAGCCTTTAGAAGTTTAATTGTCATATTAATCTATATAGCAATTATTTTCTTTCCGTCCCCAAATTTAAGACCTCTTATAAATTAAGACTTTTTGTACCATTAGGCCTACCATTTGAGTTTCATGGTCTTACATTTAAACAATTAAACTGAAGACCCGTTTTAAGAACCCACGGAAATCCTAAGAACATAGTTTAATGCAAACATTTCTGTCATGCATTTGGCAAAAAGCTTTTGTTGACTATGTATTTTACCTTTTAAATTTGAGGTAAGTGCAACTCTGGCGTCCCCGTTGTTTGTGAGCAGTGGTGTGATGGCAATTTAAATAAAAATACAGCTTTCCAAACAATCCAAACATATGGGTATTCCCTTGAACTTGTTAAAAAGATATTCTGTTTACCATCTTGACTGAAAAATATTGTTTTCATGGTCAGGTATTCATTTATTATTTGCTAATGTTAGTGAATGTTTACATTAGAGTGCACGTCATGAATTAGAAGTACAAACCGAGGATATGTAAAGAAAAATGTCGGAGGATTTCGATACACGC